GTCCCAACACTCGCACTTCCACCTCGCGCCCCTCATTTGCGCGTTCCCGATAAAGGGTGCGAGTGCGTAGGGAGTCCCAATTCTCCAGGGAGATCTTTGGCCCCGCCCCCTTTGCGCCCCTGATCCACGCTTCGCCGTAGCCTGCATCTATGCGCACTCTGGCGAAGGATATTGCCCATAATTCTTTGCGGTACACACCAAAACGTCGGGAAAATGCATTTAAATATAAATGTTGAAATATATATGCAGTATGTGTGTAAATAAGTTTTGCTGTTACTTGGAAAGAAGCATAAACGTCTGATGAAGAATTACAGACATTGTGTTTTAACAATTTAATAACTTTTTAAAGCAAGCGTTTATATAACATTCAATTTAAACTTTACACTTACAATAACTGACCAGATAGTTAGTTACCCACATTTAACTTAAAATTATACAGCTATCTCTAATTAAAAACCACTCATATACATGTATTTTAACGTGTGTGAAGCAATTCATTTTGATCTGTGTGCACTTCGAACACATGCACACTTCATAGGAGGGCGTAGGGTGCAGTGTGGGTATTGGGACTGGGCCTGGGTCATGAACAACTGACAGCGCTGACACGTACCCGCTCTGACGTCACCAAGGGCTGGGAATTGTTTTCGTCTCTAAGGGCGTTGCTATGGGGTTATTTTGATTTGGGGGATCAGACAAAAACAACTGATTTGAAACCTTCAGTAGTTCAGTTCTGATATTGACCCCTTGCATGTGACGTCCTGGCCACGCCCACTCTCCATGACAGACGCAGAAGTCTAACTGGAGCCTACGGACACCTGACCAAAACAACCTGTTTCAGCGCATTACAGCCAAAACTGGCTGTAAAAGCTTTATTAAAAGCTGTAAAAGCATAAGCTTATTTATCTGATACCTGCTCGTCATGAAGACAGAAGACGACGATGGCGGCAATCAACCAAAAGGACTGGGACCCATCCAAGTACTCCCTAATCTGCAGTGAACACTTTTTACAAGATAAAGCAATCACAAGTTTGTATTTATTTTATTTCCATGAATGTGGAGCACAATGACACACGTCAAACGTGCCTCTTACTACTGTCCTGTATGTGCGCTGCAACATTGACATTTTTATCTTTTAAGTCAATTGCGTGTTTCACTATTTTCCTCTGCGTCAGTACGTATCATGTTTGGCTGTAGACAGAAAAGCCACAGAAAAGTGGACTATTGCTAATGCTACCAGCAAAATGTACATATAAATCTGCTCCAGTGTGAGGGGATGCATTGTTAACGATAATGATAAAGATCATGTAGGGTGAATTTGGGCAAAAATAGACATTTTATTTAATCGATAAAATGGACTGTGGGGAGAAGGTACGGGTCAACATCCAGTTAGACCCTTAACTTCTCCAAATACACTCTTTGTGAGCCCTGACCTGACGTCCTACTTCCACCTGTAACGTAATCCAACATGTGCCTGAAGCAGCCACTTCTCGATTTAGGAGGAAGCTCAGTTTTTAAGAGTTCCAATACTTCCGCCGTAATCTCATTCACAATCACGTGACTGGATGACGTTGATGCATCTGGTCAATACAACTGTATTAAACTGTATTTCTACATCAATCAAACAGAAGGTTTTTAAGCCTTTGATCTTCACACGTTGAGACAACGATCCTTTTCTATCAACTTATTCTTAATGTTCCATCCTCCACCTCCTCCTCCTCCTCCTCCACCTCCTCCTCCCTCCGCCCTCCCCCCTTTGCTCTTCTTCCTCCCTCCTCCTCCCTCCTCCTCCTCCCCCCTCCCCTCCTCCTCCTCCCCCCTCCCCTCCTCCTCCTCCCCCCCTCTGTCTCCTCCCTCCTCCTCCTCCTCCCCCCTCTGTCTCCTCCCTCCTCCTCCTCCTCCCCCCTCTGTCTCCTCCTCCTCCTCCCCCCCTCTGTCTCCTCCCTCCTCCTCCCTCCTCCCCCCTCTGTCTCCTCCCTCCTCCTCCTCCTCCCCCCTCTGTCTCCTCCTCCTCCTCCTCCTCCCTCCTCCTCCTCCCCCCTCTGTCTCCTCCTCCTCCTCCTCCTCCTCCCTCCTCCTCCTCCCCCTCTGTCTCCCCTCCTCCCCCTCTGTCCTTGCAGTAGACTGTCTCCTCCTCCCCCCTCCACCTCCTCCTCCCTCCTCCCCCCTCTGTCTCCTCCTCCCTCCTCCCCCCTCTGTCTCCTCCTCCTCCTCCCTCCTCTTCATCCTCCACCTCCCCCTCCTCCTCCTCCCTCCTCCTCCTCCTCCCTCCTCCTCCTCCTCCCCCCTCTGTCTCCTCCTCCCTCCTCCCCCTCTGTCTCCCCCCCTCCCCCTCTGTCCTTGCAGTAGACTGTCTCTGGTGCCATCAGTGATTACTTTGGTAAAACAGAGCTTCGTCGCAGAGATCCAATTTTGTTAATGCACCTCCTTCACGTGGCCCGTTATTGATGAGGTGGGAGGAGGGAGGGCGCCCGCAAAGCATGATGGGAAACGGGACCAGACGAGGACCAGACGGGGACAGACCAGCCCCAGACGGGACAAAGAACCTGGACCCGCTGAAAGTCCAGGCCTGACCCTTTGATGGTCCGGACTCTTGTTAGACCTGGATCTACAAGAGACTTCCCTCTGATTTTCTTTTCTTCTTCATGGAATCATGAATCTCATCAGAAACATTCGGGTGAATATTGGACGCAGAGTATTTGGGACGTGGACCACATTCTGATGTTGGTTTTTTGGAGATAAAAACATGAACTTAATGGATTTAGCTTTTCCTCTTCAAAAAGTCTCCAGCTTTTCTCAAACATTTTACTTGCCTTTTTTGCATTACTTTAAACCAAAACTAGGCTGGATCTGGAACGGGTCTGGACTAGTACAGGACTAGATCTGGACTGGATCTGGAATGGTTTTGGACTGGTTCTGGACAAGTTTTCTGGACTGAGTCTGAGTCTGGACTGGTTCTCGTCTCACAAACCAGACTCAGTGATTTTCTCGTATACATAACTACATACTTGCCTTTTGTCGCATTACTTTGAACCAAAACTAGACATTTCTAGACTGGGTCTGGACTGGGTCTGGACTGAGTCTGGACTGGGTTCAGGCTGGGTCTGGTTCTGGTCTCGTTCTTGTCACAAGAACCAGACTTTTTGGGCGTTCCAGATCAGACCCAGAGGATGGAGCTTTTCTTCTTCATCCGACTTTTTCCCAAAGGATATTTTTGTGACAACGATAAACCCCACAATGCAACAGCGACCGTAGTCACATGACACATCTTTAAAGTGCTGTAGTCACATGACACATCTTTAAAGTGCTGTAGTCACATGACACATCTTTAAAGTGCTGTAGTCACATGACACATCTTTAAAGTGCTGTAGTCACATGACACATCTTTAAAGTGCTGTAGTCACATGACACAGCTTCAAAGTGCTATAGTCACATGACACAGCTTTAAAGTGCTGTAGTCACAGGACACAGCTTTAAAGTGCTGTAGTCACATGACACAGCTTTAAAGTGCTGTAGTCACAGGACACAGCTTTAAAGTGCTGTAGTCACATGACACAGCTTTAAAGTGCTGTAGTCACAGGACACATCTTTAAAGTGCTGTAGTCACATGACACATCTTTAAAGTGCTGTAGTCACATGACACATCTTTAAAGTGCTGTAGTCACATGACACAGCTTCAAAGTGCTGTAGTCACATGACACAGCTTTAAAGTGCTGTAGTCACAGGACACAGCTTTAAAGTGCTGTAGTCACAGGACACAGCTTTAAAGTGCTGTAGTCACAGGACACATCTTTAAAGTCCTGTAGTCACAGGACACATCTTTAAAGTGCTGTAGTCACATGACACATCTTTAAAGTGCTGTAGTCACATGACACAGCTTTAAAGTGCTGTAGTCACATGACACAGCTTTAAAGTGCTGTAGTCACAGGATACATCTTTAAAGTGCTGTAGTCACAGGACACATCTTTAAAGTGCTGTAGTCACAGGACACATCTTTAAAGTGCTGTAGTCACATTTCACATCTTTAAAGTGCTGTAGTCACATGACACATCTTTAAAGTGCTGTAGTCACATGACACATCTTTAAAGTGCTGTAGTCACATTTCACATCTTTAAAGTGCTGTAGTCACAGGACACATCTTTAAAGTGCTGTAGTCACATTTCACATCTTTAAAGTGCTGTAGTCACAGGACACATCTTTAAAGTGCTGTAGTCACAGGACACATCTTTAAAGTGCTGTAGTCGCAGGACACATCTTTAAAGTGCTGTAGTCACAGGACACATCTTTAAAGTGCTGTAGTCACAGGACACATCTTTAAAGTGCTGTAGTCGCAGGACACATCTTTAAAGTGCTGTAGTCACATGACACATCTTTAAAGTGCTGTAGTCACATGACACATCTTTAAAGTGCTGTAGTCACATGACACATCTTTAAAGTGCTGTAGTCACAGGACACATCTTTAAAGTGCTGTAGTCACATGACACAGCTTTAAAGTGCTGTAGTCACAGGACACATCTTTAAAGTGCTGTAGTCACAGGACACATCTTTAAAGTGCTGTAGTCACATGACACATCTTTAAAGTGCTGTAGTCACAGGACACATCTTTAAAGTGCTGTAGTCACATGACACATCTTTAAAGTGCTGTAGTCACAGGACACATCTTTAAAGGGCTGTAGTCACATGACACATCTTTAAAGTGCTGTAGTCACATGACACATCTTTAAAGTTCTGTAGTCACATGACACATCTTTAAAGTGCTGTAGTCACATGACACATCTTTAAAGTTCTGTAGTCACATGACACATCTTTAAAGTGCTGTAATCACATGACACATCTTTAAAGTTCTGTAGTCACATGACACATCTTTAAAGGGCTGTAGTCACATGACACATCTTTAAAGTGCTGTAGTCACATGACACATCTTTAAAGTGCTGTAATCACATGACACATCTTTAAAGTGCTGTAGTCACATGACACATCTTTAAATCCAGAAAATGTGTAAAATGCGACAGAACCGTGAGAGTCGAGATGAAGACGTGACGTGGAAACTTCCGGAAACTGAGGTGAGAGAAACATGTGATTATGCAGACACACACACACACACACAGACACACACACACACACACACACAGACACACACACACAGACACACACACAGACACACACACACACACACAGACACACAGACACACACGCACACACACAGACAGACACACACACACACACACACAAACACAGACACACACACAGACACACACAGACACAGACACACACACAGACACACACACAGACACACACACACACAGACACACACACACACACACACACACACAGACACACACAGACACACACACAGACACACACACACACAGACACACACGCACACCCACACATACACGTTTTTGTTACCTGGTGGGTCCCTTTGACAGGCCCGTTCAGAATGGGACCCATAGACATAATCTTTTTTTACCAAGACTTTAAGTAATACAAAACAGTCAATAGAAACCAAACAACTATTTTAAAGGAATTTTATTTTAGATTTTGTTTTCGAATTGCAGTGATTCTATTTTTGACATAGAATTTAATGCCACTCCATGTCCGATGTCTAAGGTCATCTGGTGAGGCATTAATGCAGGCCAGGCCAGGCCAGGCCAGGCAGTGAGACTTCCCAGGGACCTTTCCAGTCTGTATGAAAGGTGTCATGGTCTTCTCCACAGCCTTCACCTCAGATGCAGACCATGGCTTTCTTACACGTTCTAGGGAGAGAAATAAAAATATATTAGCAATATACACTCCCAGGGTTAGGACCAAGCAGCCTGGCTGTAATCCCCCACCTGGTACACTTACCAGAAGGGGCACTGCCACTACCATGGGGTGCATCTGGATGAATGGTTGAAGGTTCTCCGCTTGAAGTTTCTTTTAGCCCGTCCGTTTGTGAGAGGATCTCTACTGCTCTCCCTGTCGCACAGAAAATAAAAATACAAGTGGCCTTTAGGGGAAAAAAATCATACATATTTTAATAATATCAAGAATTACCTTCAGGCTCAATTTGTATCTGGTCGAGGCTCTTTCCTTCGAATTCCGTCACTCTTCCCTGCTCCATGGCCATCAACACTTTGCTGATTTTGGCCAGCTCCAGTGTCCCCTCTGGTAGTCTGTAATATTGCCTGTGGATGCGAATGTCATGGCCGAGGAAGTTGGCAAGTATGTCCATCTCATTCTCTTTCATATTGAGAACTGTAGACATAGTAGCTATGTGCTTTCTAAGTTTGGTTGAGGATAGCATCTCTGGATGCACCGCACCACATTCTTTGGCTACCTGGCGTAGGGAGTCTGATCCCCTGATGTGGGTGTCTGCGCCCGGGCGGGAAAAGAAGTATGGGTTATGGTCAGAGATGGAACAGGCCCTTCTGTTCTCCACCAGCACCTCCATCGAAGCAATCATTTCAGGAGTCAAAAGAACCGGCACTTTCCGACTTCTTTTCCCTTTAATTTCAATGCGTTGAAAATGCTGACACAGCTTTTTCTCAAGTTGGGACAGTCCCAGAGCAATGTCAGAATGGATCCCAGTCTTACTTCTTAAGGTAAAGGCTGTCAGTGGCATCTTTGAAACCTCACCTTCCCTTCTTCGATTGAAAATGATGACCTCACAAAGAGTCAAAACTGCCAGTTTAGACCAATGCTTAGACGTTGGCTCACTTATTAGGGTTTGCACATATTCAGGTCGACATACCTCAATATGTGCATGCATGGCTCTAACGTCCTCAGTCAGAGGGAGCAGGTCCGGAGTGTTCCACTTGGCTTGCCGGAGGGTCTGTAGGGCAGCAGAAGAAACACAGACGTCCCACCTCTTCTCAAAAAGCAGCCGGCTTCGTTGGAGGTTTTTAATAAATAGTTCATCAACACAATGCTCCATTTTTGAGTCACATTCAAGAATATCTGCTAGCTTTCTGAGGCTATGGCCGAGTTTGAGGGCCAAGGATGGAGTCTTGTATTGATTTGTTTCCTCATCATATCCAGCCACAGACCTGACTGCATCAATCACATGGTTAAAGTTGGAAGGAATAAAGAAATCCTTCATTGTTTTCAGTTTCCCTGCGGTTTTTGCTTCGTTAATTAACCTACCGACTTCTCTCATTTTCTGCCTAATGTAATCATGCTTTGTCTTATCATGCCCGTGTTTTAAGTACAGGTGCTCTCCGAGTCTCAGAATCCCCTTTTCTGCTTTGACAACACCCGTGACCTCATCCTGATGCATTGCCGAAATTAAAGACCACAGCTTTTTGCTGATGCCCTCCGGTACAGGCTGGGCTAGGGAGCAGAGGGACTGGACCCTACTTCTACCTGGTTTAGCCTGGGCATCTTTCTGTGAAAGCCGGCACCTGGCCACATGCCTCCACAGCGACTTTCGCTTAAGCAATGCCCCACAGTCTATACAGTGCAAAAACTCACTGGATTTAACTGGGGAATTTGGCTGTTTAGCTGGGACTAAAGTTCCAATGCCGGCCTTTAAAACCTCAAAATTGTGCTCACGGTTTCCACTATTCCTGATCAAATCAAAGTGAAGTTTACGTGCTTTAGATTTCACAGGTAGAGCCAATGCTCTGGCTACGTCACTTTCATTTCCATGTTTTCTAGTCAAATGACGGGACATTTTGTGGCAGGACATTGAACAGTAGAGGCAGAAGTGTCTCTTGCTGTATACTCGCCCCCCATTTTTCTTCTTTTGCAGCTGCATGATAACAATCTTATTTGCCTTTGGTTCGTCACTTTCCGAGTCTTGAAGAAAAGTGTTTTTGATTTTTCTTTTTCCATACTTTTTTACAGGTTTCTTCTTGACAGTTAAATCGTCAGAATCTGAGTCGACTTCATCAATTAGGGACTCTTGACTAAGCTGCACAAACAACAAATAATTAGTAATAATTCTATATAACAATTTGAAGTCATGACTTGTAGTCAGCACTTACCAGTGGTTTGTAAGCGTGCGCTTCAGTGTGCTGCTCTGTGATTGGCTGCAGCCTAATGAACCACACACTTGCACCTTTTTCTAGCCTGACACCTGACTTCCTCTGTTGTGCTGCTCCATGATTGGCTCCAGCCTCTGTTGTGCTGCTCCATGATTGGCTCCAGCCTGCTGGACTGAAATTGCCCCAGTGTGCCCCTCCTTGATATCCCGCAACCCACCACCAGGGTTCCGACACATAACACACTTTTTTCAGGAAATTAAACCTCCAGGGGTCCTTTCCATATTTTTACAGAGACTGCATAAGGACCGTTAGAAAAGCATTACCCATTGATTATTAAGCTTGGACCAGTGGGGTCCGGTGTTCGGGCCCCACCACGTAAAACCAGTCCCCATGACGTGAGTGGAATCTCAGGTTATGGAACCCACCAGGAGTTGAAAACAAGTGCATGCTCACACACACACACACACACAGATATACACACACACACACACACACACACACACACACACACACACACACACACAGATACACACACACACACACAGATACACACACACACACACAGATACACACACACACAGACACACACACACACAGACACACACACACACAGACACACACACAGACACACACAGACACACACACACACACACACACACAGACACACACACACACACACACAGACACACACAGACACACACACAGACACACAGACACACATGCACACACACAGACACACACACACACACACAGACACAAAGACACACACAGACACACACGCACACACACAGACACACACACAGACACACACAGACACACACGCACACACACAGACACACACCGTAGTCATCGTGGTGTTTCCAGAATAAGAAGCAGTCGTTTCTGACGGCGTTAGCTTAGACGTGTTGCTAACGCGGTTGCTAAGGGCCTGGCAAACTGGACTTTCCCCCGAGAAAGAAGGCTTCTGATTGGTTCATAACTGGATTAAGAAAAGTATAATTTACTTTTCAGTTCAGAAAATGTTCCATGAAACACACGTCTCCTCACTGTTATCATGGACTCAGTTCATTCTTCCTCCTCTTCCTCCCTCTTCCGCTTCTCTCTGGTCTCTCTCTGGTCTCTCTCTGGTCTCTCTCTGGTCTCTCTCTGGTCTCTCTCTCTGGTCTCTCTCTGGTCTCTCTCTGGTCTCTCTCTGGTCTCTCTCTCTGGTCTCTCTCTGGTCTCTCTCTGGTCTCTCTCTCTGGTCTCTCTCTGGTCTCTCTCTGGTCTCTCTCTGGTCTCTCTCTCTGGTCTCTCTCTGGTCTCTCTCTCTGGTATCTCTCTGGTCTCTCTCTGGTCTCTCTCCGTGGTTTCCTCTGGGCTCTCTCTGGTCTTTCTCTGGTCTCTCTGGTCTCTCTGGTCTCTCTCCATGGTTTCCTCTGGTCTCTCTCTCCGGTCTCTCTCTGGTCTCTCTCTGGTCTCTCTCTGGTCTCCCTCTGGTCTCCCTCTGGTCTCTCTCTGGTCTCCCTCTGGTCTCTCTCTGGTCTCTCTCTCTGGTCTCCCTCTGGTTTCCCTCTGGTCTCTCTCTGGTCTCTCCCTCTGGTCTCTCTCTGGTCTCTCTCTGGTCTCTCTCTGTCTCTCTCTGTCTCTCTCTGGTCTCTCTCTGGTCTCTCTCTGGTCTCTCTCTGGTCTCTCTCTGTCTCTCTCTGGTCTCTCTCTGGTCTCCCTCTGGTCTCTCTCTCTGGTCTCTCTCTGGTCTCCCTCTGGTCTCTCTCTGGTCTCTCTATGGTCTCTCTCTGGTCTCTCTCTAGTCTCTCTCTGGTCTCTCTCTGGTCTCTCTCTGGTCTCTCTCTGGTCTCTCTCTGGTCTCTCTCTGGTCTCTCTCTGGTCTCTCTCTAGTCTCTCTCTGGTCTCTCTCTGGTCTCTCTCTCTGGTCTCTCTCTGGTCTCTCTCTGGTCTCTCTCTGTCTCTCTCTGGTTCTCTCTCTGGTCTCCCTCTGGTCTCTCTCTCTGGTCTCTCTCTGGTCTCCCTCTGGTCTCTCTCTGGTCTCCCTTTGGTCTCCCTCTGGTCTCTCTCTGGTCTCTCTCTGGTCTCTCTCTGGTCTCTCTCTGGTCTCCCTCTGGTCTCTCTCTCTGGTCTCTCTCTGGTCTCCCTCTGGTCTCTCTCTGGTCTCTCTCTGGTCTCCCTTTGGTCTCCCTCTGGTCTCTCTCTGGTCTCTCTATGGTCTCTCTCTGGTCTCTCTCTAGTCTCTCTCTGGTCTCTCTCTGGTCTCTCTCTGGTCTCTCCCTCTGGTCTCTCTCTGGTCTCTCTCTGGTCTCTCTCTGGTCTCTCTCTGGTCTCTCTCTGGTCTCTCTCTCTGGTCTCCCTCTGGTCTCTCTCTGGTCTCCCTCTGGTCTCTCTCTGGTCTCTCTCTGGTCTCTCTCTGGTCTCTCTCTGGTCTCTCTCTGGTCTCCCTCTGGTCTCTCTCTGGTCTCTCTCTCTGGTCTCCCTCTGGTCTCTCTCTGGTCTCCCTCTGGTCTCTCTCTGGTCTCTCTCTGGTCTCTCTCTGGTCTCTCTCTGGTCTCTCTCTGGTCTCCCTCTGGTCTCTCTCTGGTCTCTCTCTGGTCTCTCTCTGGTCTCTCTCTGGTCTCTCTCTGGTCTCCCTCTGGTCTCTCTCTGGTCTCTCTCTGGTCTCTCTCTGGTCTCTCTCTGGTCTCTCTCTGGTCTCTCTCTGGTCTCTCTCTGGGTCTCCCTCTGGTCTCTCTCTGGTCTCTCTCTGGTCTCTCTCTGGTCTCTCTCTGGTCTCTCTCTGGTCTCCCTCTGGTCTCTCTCTGGTCTCTCTCTGGTCTCTCTCTGGTCTCTCTCTGGTCTCTCTCTGGTCTCTCTCTGGTCTCTCTCTGGTCTCTCTCTGGTCTCCCTCTGGTCTCTCTCTGGTCTCTCTCTGGTCTCTCTCTGGTCTCTCTCTGGTCTCTCTTTGGTCATTTTGAAAGTCAAAAGTTTGTATTTCGTCACGTTGTTGTGATGAAAAGGCGACACGGGTCTAAACAACACTTGACCATTTCTTTCTGTGATTGTCTCATGTTTTGTGTCAGGTCTGAGTCTGAGCTGGAGACCGGTGGAATCGCCCCAGTGCATCATGGGACTCAGCTGCTTCAAGTCCTGGAAACACGACCGCACTCGTCACAAAGGTCTGTTCATCTGTACCTTTGTAAAGATCCCTGTGAGTCACTATCTGCCTCTCTGGGCTGAGAGCTGATTGGCTGAGAGCTGATTGGCTGGGAGCTGATTGGCTGGGAGCTGATTGGCTGAGAGCTGATTGGCTGGGAGCTGATTGGCTGGGAGCTGATTGGCTGAGAGCTGATTGGCTGGGAGCTGATTGGCTGGGATCTGATTGGCTGAGAGCTGATTGGCTGAGAGCTGATTGGCTGAGAGCTGATTGGCTGGGAGCTGATTGGCTGGGATCTGATTGGCTGGGAGCTGATTGGCTGGGATCTGATTGGCTGAGAGCTGATTGGCTGAGAGCTGATTGGCTGAGAGCTGATTGGCTGAGGGAGGGTGCGACCTCAGAGCCAGGTGCTAGTGCTCGCTCTGATTAAAAGACAAAAATATCCCAAAATATGTTATTTTGGTTTATGTCTAAAGCTAAATTTTGATATAGTTTCCGTGTCTGGGTGATTTAATCTAAATTACTTCTACGTTTAATCACTGTGGCGTGTTTTAAAGTCAGAAGAAAACGGTTGGGCGTCTTGGCTAACGAGTGTTGTTGCTAAAATAATCCAGTGTTAGCCTCAGGAGAGCAGCGACAGTACACATTCTCATGTCACTTAGTATCCAGTTTAATGCCAGCTCTCTGTTAGCTCCCTGTTAGCTCCCTGTTAGCTCTCTGTTAGCTCCCTGTTAGCTCTCTGTTAGCTCCCTGTTAGCTCTCTGTTAGCTCCCTGTTAGCTCCCTGTTAGCTCTCTGTTAGCTCCATGTTAGCTCTCTGTTAGCTCCCTGTTAGCTCTCTGTTAGCTCCCTGTTAGCTCCTTGTTAGCTCTCTGTTAGCTCCCTGTTAGCTCACTGTTAGCTCTCTGTTAGCTCCCTGTAGCTCCATGTTAGCTCTCTGTTAGCTCCCTGTTAGCTCTCTGTTAGCTCCCTGTTAGCTCCCTGTTAGCTCCCTGACTCCCTGGGTCTCTGCAGGGAACAGAGACAACCTGTTAGCTCCCTGTTAGCTCTCTGTTAGCTCCCTGTTTGCTCTCTGTTAGCTACCTGTTTGCTCCCTGTTAGCTCCCTGTCAGCTCCATGTTAGCTCCCTGTTAGCTCCCTGTTAGCTCCATGTTAGCTCCCTGTTAGCTCTCTGTTAGCTCTCTGTTAGCTCCCTGACTCCCTGGGTCTCTGCAGGGAACAGAGACGTCCTGTTAGCTCCCTGTTAGCTCTCTGTTTGCTCTCTGTTAGCTCTCTGTTAGCTCCCTGGCTCCCTGGGTCTCTGCAGGGAACAGAGACGTCCTGTTAGCTCTCTGTTAGCTCTCTGTTAGCTATCTGTTAGCTCTCTGTTAGCTCCCTGACTCCCTGGGTCTCTGCAGGGAACAGAGACGTCCTGTTAGCTCTCTGTTAGCTCTCTGTTAGCTCCCTGACTCCCTGGGTCTCTGCAGGGAACAGAGACGTCCTGTTAGCTCTCTGTTAGCTCTCTGTTAGCTCCCTGACTCCCTGGGTCTCTGCAGGGAACAGAGACGTCCTGGCCAGTCCTGGATCATACTTCTTTCTGTCGAACAGCGCGGGTCAAGGCGACGAGTGGCTGAAGACGCTGAACCGCGGAGTCTGGATCCCCTTCACAGGTTCTGACTGTTTTACTACGAAACATGTAGAACAGGATTTCAGAACATGGTTTCCCTCAAAATTTAAATTAAGCCCCTCTGGTCTCTCTCTGGTCTCTCTCTGGTCTCTCTGATCTCTCCCTGGCCTCTCTCTGGTCTCTCTCTGGTCTCTCTCTGGTCTCTCTCTGGTCTCTCTGGTCTCTCTCTAGTCTCTCTCTCTGGTCTCTCTCTCTGGCCTCTCTCTGGTCTCTCTCTGGTCTCTCTCTGGTCTCTCTCTGATCTCTCCCTGGCCTCTCTCTGGTCTCTCTCTGGTCTCTCTCTGGTCTCTCTCTGGTCTCTCTGGTCTCTCTCTAGTCTCTCTCTCTGGTCTCTCTCTGGTCTCTCTCTGGTCTCTCTCTCTGGTCTCTCTCTCTGGCCTCTCTCTGGTCTCTCTCTGGTCTCTCTCTGGTCTCTCTCTGATCTCTCCCTGGCCTCTCTCTGGTCTCTCTCTGGTCTCTCTCTGGTCTCTCTCTGGTCTCTCTCTGGTCTCTCTGATCTCTCCCTGGTCTCTCTCTGGTCTCTCTCTGGTCTCTCTGATCTCTCCCTGGCCTCTCTCTGGTCTCTCTCTGGTCTCTCTCTGGTCTCTCTCTGATCTCTCCCTGGCCTCTCTCTGCTCTCTCTCTCTGGTCTCTCTCTCTGGGTCTTGCTCTCTCTGGTCTCTCTGATCTCTCCCTGGTCTCTCTCTGGTCTCTCTCTGGTCCTCTCTCTCTCTCTCTCTCTGGTCTCTCTCTGGTCTCTCTCTGGTCTCTCTCTGGTCTCTCTCTCTGGTCTCTGGTCTCTCTCTGGTCTCTCTCTGGTCTCTCTCTGGTCTCTCTCTGGTCTCTCTCTCTGGTCTCTCTCTAGTCTCTCTCTCTGGTCTCTCTTTGGTCTCTCTCTCTGGTCTCTCTCTCTGGTCTCTCTCTAGTCTCTCTGGTCTCTCTCTAGTCTCTCTCTCTGGTCTCTCTCTGGTCTCTCTTTGGTCTCTCTTTGGTCTCTCTCTCTGGTCTCTCTCTGGTCTCTCTCTCTGGTCTCTCTCTAGTCTCTCTGGTCTCTCTCTAGTCTCTCTCTCTGGTCTCTCTCTGGTCTCTCTTTGGTCTCTCTCTCTGGTCTCTCTCTGGTCTCTCTCTCTGGTCTCTCTCTAGTCTCTCTGGTCTCTCTCTCTGGTCTCTCTCTGGTCTCTCTCTGGTCTCTCTCTGGTCTCTCTCTGGTCTCTCTCTCTGGTCTCTCTCTGGTCTCTCTCTCTGGTCTCTCTCTTGTCTCTCTGGTCTCTCTCTAGTCTCTCTCTCTGGTCTCTCTCTGGTCTCTCTCTGGTCTCTCTCTGGTCTCTCTCTGGTCTCTCTCTGGTCTCTCTCTCTGGTCTCTCTCTGGTCTCTCTCTGGTCTCTCTCTCTGGTCTCTCTCTTGTCTCTCTGGTCTCTCTCTAGTCTCTCTCTCTGGGCTCTCTCTGGTCTCTCTCTGGCCTCTCTCTGGTCTCTCTCTGGTCTCTCTCTGGTCTCTCTCTCTGGTCTCTCTCTGGTCTCTCTCTCTGGTCTCTCTCTGGTCTCTCTCTCTGGTGTCTCTCTCTGGTCTCTCTCTCTGGTCTCTCTCTGGTCTCTCTCTCTGGTCTCTCTCTGGTCTCTCTCTCTGGTCTCTCTCTCTGGTCTCTCTCTCTGGTCTCTCTCTGGTCTCTCTCTGGTCTCTCTCTGGTCTCTCTCTGGTCTCTCTCTGGTCTCTCTCTCTCTGGTCTCTCTCTGGTCTCTCTCTCTGGTCTCTCTCTGGTCTCTCTCTCTGGTCTCTCTCTCTGGTCTCTCTCTGGTCTCTCTCTGGTCTCTCTCTCTGGTCTCTCTCTGGTCTCTCTCTCTGGTCTCTCTCTCTGGTCTCTCTCTAGTCTCTCTGGTCTCTCTCTAGTCTGGTCTCTCTCTGGTCTCTCTTTGGTCTCTCTTTGGTCTCTCTCTCTGGTCTCTCTCTGGTCTCTTCTCTGGTCTCTCTCTAGTCTCTCTGGTCTCTCTCTAGTCTCTCTCTCTGGTCTCTCTCTGGTCTCTCTTTGGTCTCTCTCTCTGGTCTCTCTCTGGTCTCTCTCTCTGGTCTCTCTCTAGTCTCTCTGGTCTCTCTCTGGTCTCTCTCTTGTCTCTCTGGTCTCTCTCTGGTCTCTCTCTAGTCTCTCTCTCTGGTCTCTCTCTCTGGTCTCTCTCTGGTCTCTCTCTGGTCTCTCTCTCTGGTCTCTCTCTTGTCTCTCTGGTCTCTCTCTGGTCTCTCTCTAGTCTCTCTCTCTGGTCTCTCTCTCTGGTCTCTCTCTGGTCTCTCTCTCTGGTCTCTCTCTCTGGTCTCTCTGGTCTCTCTCTCTGGTCTCTCTCTGGTCTCTCTCTCTGGTCTCTCTCTCTGGTCTCTCTCTGGTCTCTCTCTCTGGTCTCTCTCTCTGGCCTCTCTCTGGTCTCTCTCTGGTCTCTCTCTCTGGTCTCTCTCTGGTCTCTCTCTGGTCTCTCTCTGGTCTCTCTCTCTGGTCTCTCTCTCTGGTCTCTCTCTGGTCTCTCTCTGGTCTCTCTCTGTGGTCTCTCTCTCTGGTCTCTCTGGTCTCTCTCTGGTCTCTCTCTGGTCTCTCTCTGGTCTCTCTCTTGTCTCTCTCTGGTCTCTCTCTGGTCTCTCTCTGGTCTCTCTCTGGTCTCTCTCTCTGGTCTCTCTCTGGTCTCTCTCTTGTCTCTCTCTGGTCTCTCTCTGGTCTCTCTCCGGTGTCTCTCCTTTTGTGAGTGTGACAGATGCTACTAACATGCACTATCAGAACCATCCATCCGTGGCGCCCCCTGCAGGTGAAAGCCAGATCCTATCAGGCCTCTGAAGCTAAGCAGGGCAGGGCCTGGTTAGTGCTGTGATGGGAGACCTCTGGGAACAGCAGGGGCCACAGTGGGGCGACTGTAAAGTGCCAAACTGTGGTGGGTGAAATGTCTTGCCAAAGGACACAACTTTGTCTAGAATGAGTCTGGTGTGTGTGTGAGTGGTTGGTGGTGGTGGAAGGGGCCGATGGCACAGACTTGTTGCCTCGCTTCGGTCAGTGTGCCCCGGGGCGGCTGTGGCTACTGTAGTAGTGTATTATTGTTACTGTTATAATGTATTTCCCTAAATCTCTGTGGTCCTTTAGAGCGATGCAGCTTTAACAGAGAGCTGGTGTTTCAGGGGTGTTTGGTCAGAGGCTGGAGGAGACCGTCCTGTACGAGCGTAAATACGGCGTGCGTCTGGTGCCCCTGGTGGTGGAGCAGTGCGTGGCCTTCATCCGGGACCGGGGTCTGCACGAGGCCGGACTGTTCGTGCAGCCAGGGCAGACGTGGCTGGTCCAGGAGCTGAGGTTAGCGTACGACTCAGGGCAGCGACCCCTGTTCGACAGGTGAGGCTCAACGTGGGGTTTTCTAATCATCTCATCACAGCTGCACTTATCAGCTCAGTCCTGCACAAGTCTTTCACAATCCAGTCTGTACTTCCTTATATAGATATATCAGGGGTGTCCAAACATTTAGTTCACCAGACTTGTCCAGGGGCGACATCACAGCTTTAAAATGACCTATAACAGAGCTGAAGTTGGCTGAATGACAGATGTTTACCATCTCAGCAGGGGAAGCCATAGATTTGATGATAATAATCAGTTAAAAACATAAGTTGCAGTGTCCACGATCGCAAACGTTTGACAATAATTATATTTTTGAGATAGAAAGAGTTTAAAAGTAGATTGTTCTGAGATTTCAACTTCTTGAACAAATGTGTCAGAAAATCAGTAAGAAAACTTAAAAATGTGTGTCCGTGTTTCAGAATTGAAGATTTTATTTGCCATTTGCAGTAAAACCCCATTGGAAAAACTGAGCAAGACTCTCCCCCAGTGTCATCAGACAGAGAGTGTGAGACAAGGTATAGGCCCCGTCGTCCCCGTTGATGGTCCTTTCTGCTTTCAGGCGTCCATCTTTGTGTTTGTTCCTGTTCCCACTACGCCCAGTCCATGATGTGTAGGTTTTCCTGTGTTGCTTTGTCTCTGATCACGCACGACTGTTGTGTCTGCAGTACCACAGACGTCCACACGGTGGCGTCGCTGCTGAAGCTGTATCTGCGACAGCTTCCGGAGCCTCTGGTGCCGTACAGTCACTACCAGCACTTCCTGCAGTGTGGGCGGAAGCTGCCCTCGGAGCGCACGCAGGTAATCCTCCAGAGACTCTTTATTAGAACTTTATCAATACAACCGGCATTTTTGTTTGGTTCGTCTAAATTACAGAAGATGAAAAATATCCTCCCACTGACAAAGAAGACTGAAAATATAGACTGAATATCTCTGGTCTCTCTCTGGTCTCTCTGGTCTCACTCTGGTCTCTCTCTGGTCTCTCTCTGGTCTCTCTCTGGTCTCTCTCTGGTCTCTCTCTGGTCTCTCTCTCTGGTCTCTCTCTGGTCTCTCTCTGGTCTCTCTCTGGTCTCTCTCTGGTCTCTCTCTGGTCTCTCTCTGGTCTCTCTCTGGTCTCTCTCTCTGGTCTCTCTCTGGTCTCTCTCTGGTCTCTCTCTGGTCTCTCTCTGGTCTCTCTCTGGTCTCTCTCTGGTCTCTCTCTGGTGTTATATAAATAAACATGACTTCTCTCTCAGGGATTGGTCGAGCTGCGACACCTGCTCCATGAACTTCCTGTCGCCAACTTCAACCTCCTCAACTTTATTTGTCAGTAAGTGACAACGACCACACCATCGACCACGTCACCATCAACAACGACACCATCAACAACACCATCAACAACACCATCAACAACACCATCAACAACGACACCATTGACAATGACACCATCGACCACGTCACCATCAACTACGACACCATCGACGACACCATCAACGACGACACCATCGACGATGACACCATCAACGACGACACCATCAACGACAACACCATCGTCGACGACACCATTGACAACGACACCATCGACGATGACACCATCAACAACACCATCAACGACACCATCAACAGCGACACCATTGACGATGACACCATCGACCACGTCACCATCGACCACGTCACCATCAACTACGACACCATCGACGACACCATTGACGATGACACCATCGACCACATCACCATCGACCACGTCACCATCAACTACGACACCATCAACGACACCATCGACGACGACACCATCGACGACGACACCATCGACAACGACACCATCGACAACGACACCATCGACGATGACACCATCGACGACGACACCATCGACGACGACACCATCGACGATGACACCATCGACGACGACACCATCGACGATGACACCATCGACAACGACACCATCGACCACCTCACCTTCGACAACGACACCATCGACCACGTCACCATCAACGATGACACCATCGACCACGTCACAATCGACAACAACACCATCGACGACGACACCATCGACGACGACACCATCAACGACAACACCATCAACGACGACACCATCGACGACAACACCATCAACGACACCATCAACGACAACACCATCGACGAAAACACCATCAACGACACCATCGACGACAACACCATCAACGACAACACCATCGACTGAATCGTTGTTTTGGAAGATTCTTGAACGAGGTCCAGAGTTTCTCCAGAAGCAACAAAACGAGCTGCAACAACTTGGCCTCGGTGTTCGGACCCAACATCCTCCGCTGCAAAACCGAGGACCCGCAAAGCATCATGGGAGGCAGGAAACTTATGATGTTATTATCATTTTATAGTGTTATTATTATGTTATTATTGTTTTATTATTATGTTGTTATTACTTTAGTAAGTAGTAAGTGAGTAATATTTATTTATATACCGCCTTTCACAGACCAGAGTCACAAAGCGGTTTATAATTGTTATATTTTTAGTTTTTGTTTTGTTATTATGTTACTATGATCCCAGAGGATTATGGGAGACATGCCCCTGTGATGTCACATGACTGTGTGATGTCACATGACTGTGTGATATCACTTGACTGTGATGTCACATGACTGTGATGTCACATGACTGTGATGTCACATGACTGTGATGTCACTTGACTGTGATGTCACATGACTGTGATGTCACATGACTGTGATGTCACTTGACTGTGATGTCACATGACTGTGATGTCACATGACTGTGATGTCACATGACTGTGTGATGTCACATGACTGTGATGTCACATGACTGTGATGTCACCTGTAGGTGCGGCCCTGCGGCAGCTGCTGATGCAGGAGTTGATCCGAGAGCACCACAGACTCTTCTCTAAAGTCCCTCCTCCGTCTCTGAGGCTCATGGCCTCCAGTGGCGCCCCCTGTCTGCGCCAGAGGTCACTGCCACTGATCACAGAGAGGGACGACCCAGGACAAAGGTACAGAGGCGAAAAACTGAACACACAGGTACAGAGGAGGCGACACACTGAACACAAAGGTACAGAGGAGGCGACACACTGAACACACAGGTACAGAGGAGGCGACACACTGAACACACAGGTACAGAGGAGGCGACACACTGAACACAAAGGTACAGAGGAGGCGACACACTGAACACAAAGGTACAGAGGAGGCGACACACTGAACACACAGGTACAGAGGAGGCGACACACTGAACACACAGGTACAGAGGAGGCCACACACTGGACACACTGAACACACAGGTACAGAGGAGGCGACACACTGAACACACAGGTACAGAGGAGGCGACACACTGAACACAAAGGTACAGAGGAGGCGACACACTGAACACACAGGTACAGAGGAGGCGACACACTGAACACACAGGTACAGAGGAGGCGACACACTGAACACACAGGTACAGAGGAGGCGACACACTGAACACACAGGTACAGAGGAGGCGACACACTGAACACACAGGTACAGAGGAGGCGACACACTGAACACACAGGTACAGAGGAGGCGACACACTGAACACACAGGTACAGAGGAGGCGACACACTGAACACACAGGTAACAGAGGAGGCCACACACTGGACACACAGGTACAGAGGAGGCCACACACTGAGCACACAGGTACAGAGGAGGCGACACACTGAACACACAGGTACAGAGGAGGCGACACACTGGACACACAGGTACAGAGGAGGCGACACACTGAACACACAGGTACAGAGGAGGCGACACACTGGACACACAGGTACAGAGGAGGTCACACACTGGACACACAGGTACAGAGGAGGCGACACACTGAACACACAGGTACAGAGGAGGCGACACACTGAACACACAGGTACAGAGGAGGCGACACACTGAGCACACAGGTACAGAGGAGGCGACACACTGAACACACAGGTACAGAGGAGGCGACACACTGAACACACAGGTACAGAGGAGGCGACACACTGAACACACAAGTACAGAGGAGGCGACACACTGAACACACAGGTACAGAGGAGGCGACACACTGAACACACAGGTACAGAGGAGGCCACACACTGGACACACAGGTACAGAGGAGGCGACACACTGAACACACAGGTACAGAGGAGGCGACACACTGAACACACAGGTACAGAGGAGGCGACACACTGAACACACAGGTACAGAGGAGGCGACACACTGGACACACAGGTACAGAGGAGGCGACACACTGGACACACAGGTACAGAGGAGGTCACACACTGGACACACAGGTACAGAGGAGGCGACACACTGGACACACAGGTACAGAGGAGGCGACACACTGAACACACAGGTACAGAGGAGGCGACACACTGAACACACAGGTACAGAGGAGGCGACACACGAACACACAGGTACAGAGGAGGCGACACACTGAACACACAGGTACAGAGGAGGCGACACACAGGTACAGAGGAGGCGACACACTGAACACAAAGGTACAGAGGAGGCGACACACTGGACACACAGGTACAGAGGAGGCGACACACTGAACACAAAGGTACAGAGGAGGCGACACACTGGACACACAGGTACAGAGGAGGCGACACACTGAACACACAGGTACAGAGGAGGCGACACACTGAACACACAGGTACAGAGGAGGCGACACACTGGACACACAGGTACAGAGGAGGCGACACACTGAACACACAGGTACAGAGGAGGCGACACACTGGACACACAGGTACAGAGGAGGCCACACACTGAACACACAGGTACAGAGGAGGCGACACACTGAACAAACAGGTACAGAGGAGGCGACACACTGAACACACAGGTACAGAGGAGGCGACACACTGAACACACAGGTACAGAGGAGGCCACACACTGGACACACAGGTACAGAGGAGGCCACACACTGAGCACACAGGTACAGAGGAGGCGACACACTGAACACACAGGTACAGAGGAGGCGACACACTGGACACACAGGTACAGAGGAGGCGACACACTGAACACACAGGTACAGAGGAGGCGACACACTGGACACACAGGTACAGAGGAGGTCACACACTGGACACACAGGTACAGAGGAGGCGACACACTGGACACACAGGTACAGAGGAGGCGACACACTGAACACACAGGTACAGAGGAGGCGACACACTGAACACACAGGTACAGAGGAGGCGACACACTGAACACACAGGTACAGAGGAGGCGACACACTGAACACACAGGTACAGAGGAGGCGACACACTGAACACACAAGTACAGAGGAGGCGACACACTGAACACACAGGTACAGAGGAGGCGACACACTGAACACACAGGTACAGAGGAGGCCACACACTGACACACAGGTACAGAGGAGGCGACACACTGAACACACAGGTACAGAGGAGGCGACACACTGAACACACAGGTACAGAGGAGGCGACACACTGAACACACAGGTACAGAGGAGGCGACACACTGGACACACAGGTACAGAGGAGGCGACACACTGGACACACAGGTACAGAGGAGGTCACACACTGGACACACAGGTACAGAGGAGGCGACACACTGGACACACAGGTACAGAGGAGGCGACACACTGAACACACAGGTACAGAGGAGGCGACACACTGAACACACAGGTACAGAGGAGGCGACACACTGAACACACAGGTACAGAGGAGGCGACACACTGAACACACAGGTACAGAGGAGGCGACACACAGGTACAGAGGAGGCGACACACTGAACACAAAGGTACAGAGGAGGCGACACACTGGACACACAGGTACAGAGGAGGCGACACACTGAACACAAAGGTACAGAGGAGGCGACACACTGGACACACAGGTACAGAGGAGGCGACACACTGAACACACAAGTACAGAGGAGGCGACACACTGAACACACAGGTACAGAGGAGGCGACACACTGGACACACAGGTACAGAGGAGGCGACACACTGAACACACAGGTACAGAGGAGGCGACACACTGGACACACAGGTACAGAGGAGGCCACACACTGAACACACAGGTACAGAGGAGGCGACACACTGAACAAACAGGTACAGAGGAGGCGACACACTGAACACACAGGTACAGAGGAGGCGACACACTGAACACACAGGTACAGAGGAGGCGACACACTGAACACAAAGGTACAGAGGCTTAATTTTGCTAGAACCAATGAGGTGTGTCTGTAACACTCTGAACCAATCAGAAGCCGGGAAACGCTTAGACACAGTGGATGCACTTTTTCCTCTTCCTTTCTGTGAGAGGTCGTTTTCTTTCTTCAGCTTCGTTTCTAAATCTGAGTTTCACCAAAAGAAAGTTCTGGGTCACCGTCACACCTCCTCACATCCCGACACCTGCCTCTTCCTGGCTCCTCGCTCCTGCAGCCCGGCCCCGCGGCACCTGGAGGAACCTCTCCCAAAGGCAGACGCCCTGAGCTGGACCGAGGCCTGGACCGACCTACGGGACCCGGACCTGGACCTGGACCCGGGCCTGGACTGCTGGACTCCAGAGGCTCCTAACGAGGGTCTGGCCTCTCTCAGCAGCTCGGCCTCCACCTACGACAACCTCAGCGGCTCCTTCCAGAACCTGCCGGGTCCAAATGGCGGCGAGCAGAAGGCGGACGAGTCGTGGTCGTCGTGTGACATCATCCCGTGGGAGGAGACAGAGAGTCCTTCTCCAAACGCAAAGAGACGCTCGAGTTTAGCAACGACGGAGACGACGAGAGACACAGAGGTACAACTCAGATTATTCTTTTTAAAAACAGGCCATGACCTCCTCTCACTCCTCTCTCACTCCTCTCTCTCCTCTCTCCCCTCTCTCTCCTCTCTCTCCTCTCTCTCCTCTCTCCCCCTCTCTCTTCTCTTTCCCCTCTCTCCTCTCCTCTCTCCACCCTCTCTCCTCTCCTCTCTCCCCCTCTCTCTTCTCTTTCCCCTCTCTCCTCTCCTCTCTCCACCCTCTCTCCTCTCCTCTCTCCACCCTCTCTCCCCTCTCTCTCCCCCTCCTCTCTCCCCCTCCTCTCTCCCCTCTCCTCCCCCCTCAGGTCTTGGTGCAGCAGCAGTTTGAGTCGGCCCCCTGCACCACCCCCACGTCCCGCTCTGATCCCAGCCTGAGTCCCCTGAGCACGGGCAGCTCTGAGGTCTTCCTTCCCTCAGGACCTCCAGAGCTCCAGGAGCAGGAGGGCAGGACCGGGACAGAGCAGCCCAGCGACCTGCACTCACTGCTGGGGGAGCTGCAGCGACAAATGGCCCAGCAGAGGGAGGAGTACCAGGCCCGGATCCAGAGGTGAGTTTGGACCCTACCCTACCCATACCCTACCCTACCCTACCCATACCCTACCCTACCCTACCCTACCCTACCCTACTCTACTCTACTCTACTCGACATCAAAATAATAAGAATAAAAATATAGCTGCAACCGACATTGAAGGGCCCACTCTTCATTGTTCTGACACAGAGAGAGAGAGAGAGAGAGAGAGAGAGAGAGACACACACAGACACACACACACACACAGAAAGAGAGAGAGAAAGAGAGAGACACACACACACACCGCAGTAAACCCAACAAAAAGTAATGTATTTCCATGTCCCCCCCCCCCCCCCCCGTCCTTTTCTCCCCCACGGCCCCTCTCTCCCACCCGCCGGCCCCTGTCTCCCCCGGGCCCCTGTCCCCCCCCCCTGGCCCCTCTCTCCCACCCGCCGGCCCCTGTCTTCCCCCCTGGCCCCTGTCTCCTGTCTCAGACTGGAGCGCTGTAATGCCGTCCTGGAGCGGCAGGTCGCCCTCTTGCGGCTGACCCTGGAACAGCAGAAGCGCAACCACAGCGTCGCCGAGACTCACATCAAACACATGCAGCGGCAGAAAGAGGACGCAGAGCAACGGAACCACAGACTGCAGCGAGACTTGGACTCGTTCAACCACACGGACAGTGACGTCACCAACCCACAGACTGACGCAGAGAAGAAGAAAAAGAAGAAGAAGAAGAAGAAGAAAGGTCCTCCACAGACCAGACCTCTGCAGAGTCTGTAGGCACCGAGACCAGAAGCCCTGTTCACACCAGCCCTACTCTACTCTACTCTACTCTACTCTACTCTACTCTACTGCACTCTACTCTACTCTACTCCACTCTACTGCACTCTACTCTACTCTACTCTACTCTACTGTACTCTACTGCACTCTACTGCACTCTACTCTACTCTACTCTACTCTACTGTACTCTACCCTACTCTACTCTACTCTACTCTACTCTACTCTACTCTACTGCACTCTACTGCACTCTACTCTACTCTACTCTACTCTACTGTACTCTACTGCACTCTACTGCACTCTACTCTACTCTACTCTACTCTACTCTACTGTACTCTACCCTACTCTACTCTACTCTACTCTACTCTACTGCACTCTACTCTACTCTACTCTACTGCACTCTACTCTACCCTACTCTACTCTACTCTACTCTACTCTACTCTACTCTACTGCACTCTACTCTACTCTACTCCACTCTACTGCACTCTACTCTACTCTACTCTACTCTACTGTACTCTACTGCACTCTACTGCACTCTACTGTACTCTACTCTACTCTACTGTACTCTACCCTACTCTACTCTACTCTACTCTACTCTACTGCACTCTACTGCACTCTACTCTACTCTACTCTACTGCACTCTACTCTACTCTACTCTACTGCACTCTACTCTACTCTACTCTACTGCACTCTACTCTACTCTACCCTACTCTACTCTACTCTACTGCACTCTACTCTACTCTACTCTACTCTACCCTACTCTACTCTACTCTACTGCACTCTACCCTACTCTACTCTACTCTACCCTACTCTACTCTACTCCTGGTCAAACTAAAGTGTCTAATTTCTCTGGTCTCAAACTTGTCGAATCCTTTCTCTGTGATGTCACATGTTTTTCCTTCAGATCTTTTCCCAGTGAAATGAATGAGCTGCGTCTGAAGCTCCGTCCTGATGCGGTGGAAGTGCATTTATACTTCTTTATCTGTGTATTTTATAGTTAAGAGTTTATTTTACTTTATGACAAAATAATGCATCCTATTTATTTTGATCACCTAAAAACATATAAATATTGATCAAATTTATCTTTTCTTCTGTTTTCCTCCAGTTCCAGTTAAATCCTTCTTTAAAGTTTGGACATTTTACCTTTTACCAATATAAAAAAGTACTTTCCTGTTTTGTTCCAGTTCACGAATGTATCAGAAAATAAATAATCTGGGTTTTGGAGTTTACGAAAAGTGTCTTTACTTTTACTTGTTACTGTTTCAGACTTGACTTTATGTTTAGTGCCAAAAAACTAAAATAGAAGGTTTTTATATCGTTGAAACAAAGTGACTTGCGACAATTTGTAATGAAACTGGAAAAACCAACAAAGTTTCACATTTATGCACAAAAAAAAAGTGAATAAAATGTTTTTCTAACCACCGTGTGTTTGTGTCTCTGTGAAAACGTTCAGAGCGTTTCTTTGGAGAAACTACACATTTGGGAAGTGAAAAGGTTTCATATGGATCCAAACCTCCTGAAGTCCACTGGTCTCTCTGTGTTTCATATGGATCCAAACCTCCTGAAGTCCACTGGTCTCTCTGTGTTTCATATGGATCCAAACCTCCTGAAGTCCACTGGTCTCTCTGTGTTTCATATGGATCCAAACCTCCTGAAGTCCACTGGTCTCTCTGTGTTTCATATGGATCCAAACCTCCTGAAGTCCACTGGTCTCTCTGTGTTTCATATGGATCCAAACCTCCTGAAGTCCACTGGTCTCTCTGTGTTTCATATGGATCCAAACCTCCTGAAGTCCACTGGTCTCTCTGTGTTTCATATGGATCCAAACCTCCTGAAGTCCACTGGTCTCTCTGTGTTTCATATGGATCCAAACCTCCTGAAGTCCACTGGTCTCTCTGTGTTTCATATGGATCCAAACCTCCTGAAGTCCACTGGTCTCTCTGTGTTTCATATGGATCCAAACCTCCTGAAGTCCACTGGTCTCTCTGTGTTTCATATGGATCCAAACCTCCTGAAGTCCACTGGTCTCTCTGTGTTTCATATGGATCCAAACCTCCTGAAGTCCACTGGTCTCTCTGTGTTTCATATGGATCCAAACCTCCTGAAGTCCACTGGTCTCTCTGTGTTTCATATGGATCCAAACCTCCTGAAGTCCACTGGTCTCTCTGTGTTTCATATGGATCCAAACCTCCTGAAGTCCACTGGTCTCTCTGTGTTTCATATGGATCCAAACCTCCTGAAGTCCACTGGTCTCTCTGTGTTTCATATGGATCCAAACCTCCTGAAGTCCACTGGTCTCTCTGTGTTTCATATGGATCCAAACCTCCTGAAGTCCACTGGTCTCTCTGTGTTTCATATGGATCCAAACCTCCTGAAGTCCACTGGTCTCTCTGTGTTTCATATGGATCCAAACCTCCTGAAGTCCACTGGTCTCTCTGTGTTTCATATGGATCCAAACCTCCTGAAGTCCACTGGTCTCTCTGTGTTTCATATGGATCCAAACCTCCTGAAGTCCACTGGTCTCTCTGTGTTTCATATGGATCCAAACCTCCTGAAGTCCACTGGTCTCTCTGTGTGTTTCATATGGATCCAAACCTCCTGAAGTCCACTGGTCTCTCTGTGTTTCATATGGATCCAAACCTCCTGAAGTCCACTGTCTCCGAAGTCCACTGTGTGTTTCATATGGATCCAAACCTCCTGAAGTCCACTGGTCTCTCTGTGTTTCATATGGATCCAAACCTCCTGAAGTCCACTGGTCTCTCTGTGTTTCATATGGATCCAAACCTCCTGAAGTCCACTGGTCTCTCTGTGTTTCATATGGATCCAAACCTCCTGAAGTCCACTGGTCTCTCTGTGTTTCATATGGATCCAAACCTCCTGAAGTCCACTGGTCTCTCTGTGTTTCATATGGATCCAAACCTCCTGAAGTCCACTGGTCTCTCTGTGTTTCATATGGATCCAAACCTCCTGAAGTCCACTGGTCTCTCTGTGTTTCATATGGATCCAAACCTCCTGAAGTCCACTGGTCTCTCTGTGTTTCATATGGATCCAAACCTCCTGAAGTCCACTGGTCTCTCTGTGTTTCATATGGATCCAAACCTCCTGAAGTCCACTGGTCTCTCTGTGTTTCATATGGATCCAAACCTCCTGAAGTCCACTGGTCTCTCTGTGTTTCATATGGATCCAAACCTCCTGAAGTCCACTGGTCTCTCTGTGTTTCATATGGATCCAAACCTCCTGAAGTCCACTGGTCTCTCTGTGTTTCATATGGATCCAAACCTCCTGAAGTCCACTGGTCTCTCTGTGTTTCATATGGATCCAAACCTCCTGAAGTCCACTGGTCTCTCTGTGTTTCATATGGATCCAAACCTCCTGAAGTCCACTGGTCTCTCTGTGTTTCATATGGATCCAAACCTCCTGAAGTCCACTGGTCTCTCTGTGTTTCATATGGATCCAAACCTCCTGAAGTCCACTGGTCTCTCTGTGTTTCATATGGATCCAAACCTCCTGAAGTCCACTGGTCTCTCTGTGTTTCATATGGATCCAAACCTCCTGAAGTCCACTGGTCTCTCTGTGTTTCATATGGATCCAAACCTCCTGAAGTCCACTGGTCTCTCTCTGTGTTTCATATGGATCCAAACCTCCTGAAGTCCACTGGTCTCTCTGTGTTTCATATGGATCCAAACCTCCTGAAGTCCACTGGTCTCTGTGTTTCATATGGATCCAAACCTCCTGAAGTCCACTGGTCTCTCTGTGTTTCATATGGATCCAAACCTCCTGAAGTCCACTGGTCTCTCTGTGTTTCATATGGATCCAAACCTCCTGAAGTCCACTGGTCTCTCTGTGTTTCATATGGATCCAAACCTCCTGAAGTCCACTGGTCTCTCTGTGTTTCATATGGATCCAAACCTCCTGAAGTCCACTGGTCTCTCTGTGTTTCATATGGATCCAAACCTCCTGAAGTCCACTGGTCTCTCTGTGTTTCATATGGATCCAAACCTCCTGAAGTCCACTGGTCTCTGTGTTTCATATGGATCCAAACCTCCTGAAGTCCACTGGTCTCTCTGTGTTTCATATGGATCCAAACCTCCTGAAGTCCACTGGTCTCTCTGTGTTTCATATGGATCCAAACCTCCTGAAGTCCACTGGTCTCTCTGTGTTTCATATGGATCCAAACCTCCTGAAGTCCACTGGTCTCTCTGTGTTTCATATGGATCCAAACCTCCTGAAGTCCACTGGTCTCTCTGTGTTTCATATGGATCCAAACCTCCTGAAGTCCACTGGTCTCTCTGTGTTTCATATGGATCCAAACCTCCTGAAGTCCACTGGTCTCTCTGTGTTTCATATGGATCCAAAACCTCCTGAAGTCCACTGGTCTCTCTGTGTTTCATATGGATCCAAACCTCCTGAAGTCCACTGGTCTCTCTGTGTTTCATATGGATCCAAACCTCCTGAAGTCCACTGGTCTCTCTGTGTTTCATATGGATCCAAACCTCCTGAAAGTGTTCTGATCCAACTGAGTCTGGCTCTCTGTGTTTCATATGGATCCAAACCTCCTGAAGTCCACTGGTCTCTCTGTGTTTCATATGGATCCAAACCTCCTGAAGTCCACTGGTCTCTCTGTGTTTCATATGGATCCAAACCTCCTGAAGTCCACTGGTCTCTCTGTGTTTCATATGGATCCAAACCTCCTGAAGTCCACTGGTCTCTCTGTGTTTCATATGGATCCAAACCTCCTGAAGTCCACTGGTCTCTCTGTGTTTCATATGGATCCAAACCTCCTGAAGTCCACTGGTCTCTCTGTGTTTCATATGGATCCAAACCTCCTGAAGTCCACTGGTCTCTCTGTGTTTCATATGGATCCAAACCTCCTTGGAGACCAGAGTGAGACCAGTGTTTCATAGAGACCAGAGTGAGACCTCCTGAAGTCCACTGGTCTCTCTGAGACCATAGTGGATCCAGAGTGAGACCAGAGTGAGACCAGAGAGAGTGAGACCAGAGAGAGACCAAGAGAGAGACCAGAGAGAGAGACCAGAGAGAGAGACCAGAGAGAGACCAGAGAGAGACCTCAGTGTGAGACCATAGAGAGAGACCAGAGAGAGACCTGTGTTTCATATAGAGAGACCAGAGAGAGACCAGAGTGAGACCAGAGAGAGAGACCAGAGAGAGACCAAAGAGAGACCAGAGAGAGAGACCAGAGAGAGACCAGAGAGAGACCAGAGTGAGACCAGAGAGAGACCAGAGTGAGACCAGAGAGAGACCAGAGTGAGACCAGAGAGAGACCAGAGTGAGACCAGAGAGAGACCAGAGTGAGACCAGAGAGAGAGACCAGAGAGAGAGACCAGAGAGAGACCAGAGAGAGAGACCAGAGAGAGAGACCAGAGAGAGACTAGAGAGAGAGACCAGAGAGAGAGACCAGAGAGAGACCAGAGAGAGACCAGAGAGAGACCAGAGAGAGACCAGAGACCAGAGAGAGACCAGAGAGAGAGACCAGAGAGAGAGACCAGAGAGAGACCAGAGAGAGACCAGAGAGAGAGACCAGAGAGAGACCAGAGAGAGACCAGAGAGAGAGACCAGAGAGAGACCAGAGAGAGACCAGAGAGACCAGAGAGAGACCAGAGTGAGACCAGAGAGAGACCAAAGAGAGACCAGAGAGAGAGACCAGAGAGAGACCAGAGAGAGACCAGAGAGAGAGACCAGAGAGAGACCAGAGAGAGACCAGAGAGAGACCAGAGTGAGACCAGAGTGAGACCAGAGAGAGACCAGAGTGAGACCAGAGAGAGACCAGAGTGAGACCAGAGTGAGACCAGAGTGAGACCAGAGAGAGAGACCAGAGAGAGACCAAAGAGAGACCAGAGAGAGAGACCAGAGAGAGACCAGAGAGAGACCAGAGAGAGACCAGAGTGAGACCAGAGAGAGAGACCAGAGAGAGACCAGAGAGAGACCAGAGAGAGACCAGAGAGAGACCAGAGTGAGACCAGAGAGAGAGACCAGAGAGAGACCAAAGAGAGACCAGAGAGAGAGACCAGAGAGAGACCAGAGAGAGACCAGAGTGAGACCAGAGTGAGACCAGAGAGAGACCAGAGTGAGACCAGAGAGAGACCAGAGTGAGACCAGAGTGAGACCAGAGTGAGACCAGAGAGAGACCAGAGTGAGACCAGAGAGAGAGACCAGAGAGAGAGACCAGAGAGAGACCAGATAGAGACCAGAGAGAGACCAGAGAGAGAGACCAGAGAGAGAGACCAGAGAGAGACCAGAGAGAGACTAGAGAGAGAGACCAGAGAGAGAGACCAGAGAGAGACCAGAGAGAGACCAGAGAGAGACCAGAGACCAGAGAGAGACCAGAGAGAGAGACCAGAGAGAGAGACCAGAGAGAGACCAGAGAGAGACCAGAGAGAGAGACCAGAGAGAGACCAGAGAGAGACCAGAGAGAGACCAGAGAGAGAGACCAGAGAGAGAGACCAGAGAGAGACCAGAGAGAGACCAGAGAGAGAGACCAGAGAGAGACCAGAGAGAGACCAGAGAGAGACCAGAGAGAGAGACCAGAGAGAACGACCAGAGAGAGACCAGAGAGAGAGACCAGAGAGAGACCAGAGAGAGAGACCAGAGAGAGACCAGAGAGAGACCAGAGAGAGAGACCAGAGAGAGACCAGAGAGAGACCAGAGAGAGAGACCAGAGAGAGACCAGAGAGAGACCAGAGAGAGACCAGAGAGAGAGACCAGAGAGAGACCAGAGAGAGACCAGAGAGAGAGACCAGAGAGAGACCAGTGAGAGACCAGAGAGAGACCAGAGAGAGAGACCAGAGAGAGACCAGAGAGAGACCAGAGAGAGACCAGAGACCAGAGAGAGACCAGAGAGAGAGACCAGAGAGAGAGACCAGAGAGAGACCAGAGAGAGACCAGAGAGAGAGACCAGAGAGAGACCAGAGAGAGACCAGAGAGAGAGACCAGAGAGAGACCAGAGAGAGACCAGAGAGAGAGACCAGAGAGAGACCAGAGATTCTCACATTAGTAAAAACAAACGTTAGCGTTAGCTGCACTGCTTCTTCTTGGCTCTGATGGGGCTGAAGAATGGGTGCCACAGCGCCTCCTCCAGGGTGATCCTGCGAACTACATCGTACTGAAGCATCAGGGACAGGAGGTCAAACAGCTGCTTCTCCTCATCACTGCAGCTCTGCATGTACTGCTGAACACACAACACACACATGAACACACAAAACACACATGAACACACAACACATACATGAACACACAACACACACATCAACACACAACACACACATGAACACACAACCATCAACACACACACTGCAGCTCTGCATGTACTGCTGAACACACAATACACACATGAACACACAACCATCAACACACAACCATCAACCATGAACACACACAATCATGAACACAAAAAATAATCCAGAGACCAGAGAGAGACGAGCGCGAGACCAAAGAGAGACCAGAGAGAGACGAGCGCGAGACCAGAGAGAGACCAAAGAGAGACCAGAGAGAGACCAGAGAGAGACCAGAGAGAGACCAGAGAGAGACTAGAGAGAGACCAGAGAGGGACCAAAGAGAGACCAGAGAGAGACCAGAGAGAGACCAGAGAGAGACCAGAGAGAGACCAGAGAGGGACCAAAGAGAGACCAGAGAGAGACCAGAGCGAGACCAGAGAGAGACTAGAGAGAGACCAGAGAGGGACCAAAGAGAGACCAGAGAGAGACCAGGGAGAGACCAGAGAGAGACTAGAGAGAGACCAGAGAGGGACCAAAGAGAGACCAGAGCGAGACCAGAGAGAGACCAGAGAGAGACTAGAGAGAGACCAGAGAGGGACCAAAGAGAGACCAGAGAGAGACCAGAGAGAGACCAGAGAGAGACCAGAGAGGGACCAAAGAGAGACCAGAGAGAGACCAAAGAGAGACCAGAGAGAGACCAGAGAGGGACCAAAGAGAGACCAGAGAGAGACTAGAGGGAGACCAGAGAGGGACCAAAGAGAGACCAGAGCGAGACCAGAGAGAGACCAGAGAGAGACCAGAGAGAGACTAGAGAGAGACCAGAGAGGGACCAAAGAGAGACCAGAGAGAGACCAAAGAGAGACCAGAGAGAGACCAAAGAGAGACCAGAGAGAGACCAGAGAGACCAGAGAGGGACCAAAGAGAGACCAGAGAGAGACCAGAGAGAGACTAGAGAGAGACCAGAGAGGGACCAAAGAGAGACCAGAGCGAGACCAGAGAGAGACCAGAGAGAGACCAGAGAGGGACCAAAGAGAGACCAGAGAGAGACCAAAGAGAGACCAGAGAGAGACTAGAGAGAGACCAGAGAGGGACCAAAGAGAGACCAGAGAGAGACCAGAGAGAGACCAGAGAGAGACTAGAGGGAGACCAGAGAGGGACCAAAGAGAGACCAGAGCGAGACCAGAGAGAGACCAGAGAGAGACCAGAGAGAGACTAGAGAGAGACCAGAGAGGGACCAAAGAGAGACCAGAGAGAGACCAAAGAGAGACCAAAGAGAGACCAGAGAGAGACCAGAGAGAGACCAGAGAGAGACCAGAGAGGGACCAGAGAGAGACTAGAGAGAGACCAGAGAGGCACCAAAGAGAGACCAAAGAGAGACCAGAGAGAGACCAGAGAGAGACCAGAGAGAGACCAGAGAGGGACCAAAGAGAGACCAGAGAGAGACCAGAGAGAGACCAGAGAGAGACTAGAGAGAGACCAGAGAGGGACCAAAGAGAGACCAGAGAGAGACCAGAGAGAGACCAGAGAGAGACTAGAGAGAGACCAGAGAGAGACCAGAGAGACCAGAGCGAGACCAGAGAGACCAGAGCGAGACCAGAGAGAGACCAGAGAGGGACCAAAGAGAGACCAGAGAGAGACCAGAGAGAGACCAGAGAGAGAGACCAGAGAGAGACCAGAGAGAGACCCGTAGAGACCGTGCCGTTACCTTCAGAGGTCTGCAGTGCTCGTGGATGTACTGGTCTCTGCTCGTGACGTTCTCCTGCAGGCGGTCGTTGTGGACGTAGTGTTTCTTTCTGACAAAACACAACCGTGAGTCTGTGCCACGTCGTTAAACTGAACACACACAATCACAGCTCACTTTGTCTGTTGGAGCAGGTGGGCGGGGATCGAACCCAGGACCCGCTCCATCATGGCCAGGTGCTCCCGACTGTCGTGGGTCTGACAACACAACCAGGGAATTTACACAGTGTGTGTGTGTGTGTGTGTCTTTGTGTGTGTGTGTGTACGTGTCTTTGTGTGTGTCTGTGTGTGTGTGTGTGTGTGTTTGTGTGTGTGTGTTTGAGTTACTGGGAAAAGGGTCCGTCCGAGGTAGAACTCCATCAAAACACAACCAAGACTCCACACGTCACACGACTGGTTCCAGCCCAGATCTGAAACAGAAACACATTTATACAGAGAGACCAGAGAGAGACCAGAGAGAGACCAGAGAGAGACCAGAGAGAGACCAGAGAGAGACCAGAGAGAGACCAGAGAGAGACCAGAGAGAGACCAGAGAGAGACCAGAGAGAGACCAAAGAGGGACCAGAGAGAGACCAGAGAGAGACCGGAGAGAGAGACCAGAGAGAGACCAGAGAGAGACCAGAGAGAGACCAGAGAGAGACCAGAGAGAGACCAGAGAGAGACCAGAGAGAGACCAGAGAGGGACCAGAGAGAGACCAGAGAGAGACCGGAGAGAGAGACCAGAGAGAGACCAGAGAGAGACCAGAGAGAGACCAGAGAGAGACCAGAGAGAGACCAGAGAGAGACCAGAGAGAGACCAGAGAGAGACCAGAGAGAGACCAGAGAGAGACCAGAGAGGGACCAGAGAGAGACCAGAGAGAGACCGGAGAGAGAGACCAGAGAGAGACCAGAGGGAGACCAGAGGGAGACCAGAGGGAGACCAGAGGGAGACCAGAGGGAGACCAGAGGGAGACCAGAGGGAGACCAGAGAGAGACCAGAGGGAGACCAGAAAGAGACCAGAAAGAGACCAGAGAGAGACCAGAGAGAGACCAGAGAGAGACCAGAGAGAGACCAGAGAGAGAGACCAGAGAGAGACCAGAGAGAGAGACAAGAGAGAGACCAGACTGTTGTGTGTCTGCTGCAGTACCGAGGATGACCTCTGGGGCGCGGTAATGCCGTGTAGACACCAGAGACTCGTGGCGCTCGTGGTCGAAGGTCGCGGTCCCAAAATCCACGACTTTCACATCGATGTTTTTCAACGTCTTCTCGTTTCGTCGCTGCAAAAAAACACACAAAAAAGTCAAAACTACACAAAAACTATTCAAACGGAAATGGACCAGAGAGAGACCAGAGAGAGACCAGAGAGAGTCCAGAGAGAGACCAGAGAGAGGGACCAGAGAGAGAGACCAGAGAGAGTCCAGAGAGAGACCAGAGAGAGACCAGAGAGAGGCCAGAGAGACCAGAGAGAGTCCAGAGAGAGACCAGAGAGAGTCCAGAGAGAGACCAGAGAGAGACCAGAGAGAGACCAGAGAGAGAGACCAGAGAGACCAGAGAGAGACCAGAGAGAGACCAGAGAGAGAGACCAGAGAGAGACCAGAGAGAGACCAGAGAGAGACCAGAGAGAGAGACCAGAGAGAAACCAGAGAGAGACCAGAGAGAGACCAGAGAGAGAGACCAGAGAGAAACCAGAGAGAGTCCAGAGTTTTCTAATGATTCCGAACATGTAATTTCCCAAAGATCATGTGTTTTTCTTGGATAATAATAATAATAATAATAATATATATTTTTACCTTTTCTTGGTTGTATTCGAGATCGAAGTCAGAGCAGACCAAAAGAATGTTCTCAGGCTTCAGGTCGGTGTGCGTCAGCTTGTTTCTGTGGAGGACTACACACACACACACACACATTAAAACACACTACACACATGATATGAAGTAAATACTGAAGTGAAAGATGGAGAGACTTCTTGGAGGACACACAACATGTTTATGTCCTTCTGTCTTTGATAAATACATTTAACTTCCTCAGAGATTGAAAGTGAAAGTAACTCACAGCAGACGGCCCTGAACAGCTGAAAGGCCATGTGTCGGATCTGGTCCAGACTGAAGGGCAGGAAGTGGTTCTGCTGCAGGAACTCACAGGTACTGAGTCCCAGGAGCTCGAAGACGATACAGACGTGACCACAGTGATCGAACCAGTCCAGCATCCGCACACAGGCACTAAGGAGAGAAGGGAGTCCTGGGTCTACAGCCTCGGTCCTGGGTCTACAGCCTCAGTCCTGGGTCTACAGCCTCAGTCCTGGGCCTACAGCCTCAGTCCTGGGTCTACAGCCTCAGTCCTGGGTCTACAGCCTCAGTCCTGGGTCTACAGCCTCAGTCCTGGGTCTACAGCCTGAGTCCTGGGTCTACAGCCTCAGTCCTGGGTCTACAGCCTGAGTCCTGGGTCTACAGCCTCAGTCCTGGGTCTACAGCCTCGGTCCTGGGTCTACAGCCTCGGTCCTGGGTCTACAGCCTCAGTCCTGGGTCTACAGCCTCAGTCCTGGGTCTACAGCCTCGGTCCTGGGTCTACAGCCTCAGTCCTGGGTCTACAGCCTCGGTCCTGGGTCTACAGCCTCAGTCCTGGGTCTACAACCCCACATCACTGCGTCACTCACAACGTGTTGTCGTCGTCCAGAGCGTTGATCTCTTCCAGGACCGTGATCTCAGACCGAGCCACTTCACTGAAGCAGTCGATGTTTCTCACAATTTTAACAGCAACAAACTCACCGCTGCCATGGCAACAGCAGATTAAAAACATGACTTTATACTTTAGTACTTTCTGCACAATAATCCACTGCTAGAAGTTCTTTTAACGTTGTGAACTTTATAGTAATGCGGTCAATGTAAGTATTTGTATTCTGTCACAGCGCCCCCTGGTGACCAGGAGTCTGGAGCTGAGGATGTAACACATGCCTGTTTTGTTGTGTTTATGTGAACAGCAGACGACACAGAGAGTTAGATCCTGTCTGACCTCTGAAGCTAAGCATGGGTTAGTCCTGTGATGGGAGACCTCTGGGAACAGCAGGTGCCACAGTGGGGCGGCTACGGCTGTAAAGTGCCAAACTGTGGTTGTGTCCTTAGGCAAGACACTTCCCCCACATAATAAAGGTGTGTGTGCTGTTGGTGGTGGGAGGGGCCTCACTTCAAACGCAGTAAACACAGGTTCAGTCCTCACCGTTCTCGATCGTAGCATTTGGCCACTTTTCCGAACGCACCTTTCCCCAGAGTCGACACCACCTCGTCTGTAAACATCAGATTCTCTTTGACACATGGTTTATGGTCGTCTGTAAACATCAGATTCTCTTTGACACATGGTTTATGGTCGTCTGTAAACATCAGATTCTCTTTGACACATGGTTTATGGTCGTCTGTAAACATCAGATTCTCTTTGACACATGGTTTATGGTCGTCTGTAAACATCAGATTCTCTTTGACACATGGTTTATGGTCGTCTGTAAACATCAGATTCTCTTTGACACATGGTTTATGGTCGTCTGTAAACATCAGATTCTCTTTGACACATGGTTTATGGTCGTCTGTAAACATCAGATTCTCTTTGACACATGGTTTATGGTCGTCTGTAAACATCAGATTCTCTTAACACATGGTTTATGTCGTCTGTAAACATCAGATTCTCTTGACACTGGTTTATGGTCGTCTGTAAACATCAGATTCTCTTTGACACATGGTTTATGGTCGTCTGTAAACATCAGATTCTCTTTGACACATGGTTTATGGTCGTCTGTAAACATCAGATTCTCTTTGACACATGGTTTATGGTCGTCTGTAAACATCAGATTCTCTTTGACACATGGTTTATGGTCGTCTGTAAACATCAGATTCTCTTTGACACATGGTTTATGGTCGTCTGTAAACATCAGATTCTCTTTGACACATGGTTTATGGTCGTCTGTAAACATCAGATTCTCTTTGACACATGGTTTATGGTCGTCTGTAAACATCAGATTCTCTTTGACACATGGTTTATGGTCGTCTGTAAACATCAGATTCTCTTTGACACATGGTTTATGGTCGTCTGTAAACATCAGATTCTCTTTGACACATGTTTTGGTCGTCTGTAACATCAGATTCTCTTGACACATGGTTTATGGTCGTCTGTAAACATCAGATTCTCTTCTTTGACACATGCCTTGAACATGGTTTATGGTCGTCTGTAAACATCAGATTCTCTTTGACACATGGTTTATGGTCGTCTGTAAACATCAGATTCTCTTTGACACATGGTTTATGGTCGTCTGTAAACATCAGATTCTCTTTGACACATGGTTTATGGTCGTCTGTAAATCATCTGATTCTCTTTGACACATGGTTTATGGTCGTCTGTAAACATCAGATTCTCTTTGACACATGGTTTATGGTCGTCTGTAAACATCAGATTCTCTTTGACACATGGTTTATGGTCGTCTGTAAACATCAGATTCTCTTTGACACATGGTTTATGGTCGTCTGTAAACATCAGATTCTCTTTGACACATGGTTTATGGTCGTCTGTAAACATCAGATTCTCTTTGACACATGGTTTATGGTCGTCTGTAAACATCAGATTCTCTTTGACACATGGTTTATGGTCGTCTGTGAACATCAGATTCTCTTTGACACATGGTTTATGGTCGTCTGTAAACATCAGATTCTCTTTGACACATGGTTTATGGTCGTCTGTAAACATCAGATTCTCTTTGGCACATGGTTTATGGTCGTCTGTGAACATCAGATTCTCCTTGACACAAGGTTTATGGTTGTCTGTAAACATCAGATTCTCTTTGACACATGGTTTATGGTCGTCTGTAAACATCAGATTCTCTTTGACACATGGTTTATGGTCGTCTGTAAACATCAGATTCTCTTTGACACATGGTTTATGGTCGTCTGTAAACATCAGATTCTCTTTGACACATGGTTTATGGTCGTCTGTAAACATCAGATTCTCTTTGACACATGGTTTATGGTCGTCTGTAAACATCAGATTCTCTTTGACACATGGTTTATGGTCGTCTGTAAACATCAGATTCTCTTTGACACATGGTTTATGGTCGTCTGTAAACATCAGATTCTCTTTGACACATGGTTTATGGTCGTCTGTAAACATCAGATTCTCTTTGACACATGGTTTATGGTCGTCTGTAAACATCAGATTCTCTTTGACACATGGTTTATGGTCGTCTGTAAACATCAGATTCTCTTTGACACATGGTTTATGGTCGTCTGTAAACATCAGATTCTCTTTGACACATGGTTTATGGTCGTCTGTGAACATCAGATTCTCTTTGACACATGGTTTATGGTCGTCTGTGAACATCAGATTCTCTTTGACACATGGTTTATGGTCGTCTGTGAACATCAGATTCTCTTTGACACATGGTTTATGGTCGTCTGTAAACATCAGATTCTCTTAGACACATGGTTTATGGTCGTCTGTGAACATCAGATTCTCTTTGACACATGGTTTATGGTCGTCTGTAAACATCAGATTCTCTTTGACACATGGTTTATGGTCGTCTGTGAACATCAGATTCTCTTTGACACATGGTTTATGGTCGTCTGTAAACATCAGATTCTCTTCGACACATGGTTTATGGTCGTCTGTAAACATCAGATTCTCTTCGACACATGGTTTATGGTCGTCTATAAACATCAGATTCTCTTTGACACATGGTTTATGGTCGTAGAAGCATCAGATTCTCTTTGACACATGGTTTATGGTCGTAGAAGCATCAGATTCTCTTTGACACATGGTTTATGGTCGTAAAAGCATCAGATTCTCTTTGACACATGGTTTATGGTCGTAGAAGCATCAGATTCTCTTTGACACATGGTTTATGGTCGTAGAAGCATCAGATTCTCTTTGACACATGGTTTATGGTCGTAGAAGCATCAGATTCTCTTTGACACATGGTTTATGGTCGTAGAAGCATCAGATTCTCTTTGACACATGGTTTTTGGTCGTCTGTAAACATCAGATTCTCTTTGACACATGGTTTATGGTCGTCTGTGAACATCAGATTCTCTTTGACACATGGTTTATGGTCGTAGAAGCATCAGATTCTCTTTGACACATGGTTTTTGGTCGTAGAAGCATCAGATTATCCCACGGTCAGTTCCAGCGCACACTACCTTCGATTAATACAGTTTAAATCTCAGCTCTCTCATTACTGTACCTGAGCCGTATCCATGGCAACACAGCAGTGAGAACAAGGAATTACTAATAATGAGTGGGGAAATGTCAATGTTGCAGTACACAGACAGGACACAGACACAAGGAGCTCACAAATATACAGTATAAGCAGCTGCTGTGTTTCTTAGCTGTAAGTGACCCCCGTCTCTCAGCCAATCAGCTCTGAGCCCATAGAGTCAGATAGTAACTCTCAGGGCTCTGCATTACTATTTAAACAATTACATTTTTAACAATATACTGAAGTATTGTGGTCTGTTCGTTCATAACATTTTACTTTTACAAAACTGTTTCTGCTTGAACAAATAAAACTCATGTATCACTAAAGTTAGGTACCCGAGCTTTAACATGTGTTATTGGAAGCCGTACATTTTCCATTGAGCAGAAGTCCTTCATGGTAAACCAGATGGCCTTCCTCGTTGTCATGGTCACCGCTCTCGGCCTGTGGAGCGCTCTGCAGACAACACACAGAAGATGTAAGATGTTCCTGTCCAGTCATCATTAAAGGGCCCTAATCTGTCAGCATTAAAGGGCCCTAATCTGTCATCAGTAAAGGGCCCTAATCTGTCATCATTAAAGGGCCCTAATCTGTCATCATTAAAGGGCCCTAATCTGTCATCATTAAAGGGGCCTAATCTGTCATCATTAAAGGGCCCTAATCTGTCATCATTAAAGGGCCCTAATCTGTCATCATTAAAGGGCCCTAATCTGTCATCATTAAAGGGCCTAATCTGTCATCATTAAAGGGCCTAATCTGTCATCATTAAAGGGCCCTAATTTGTCATCATTAAAGGGCCCTAATCTGTCATCATTAAAGGGCCTAATCTGTCATCATTAAAGGGCCTAATCTGTCATAATTAAAGGGCTCTAATCTGTCATCATTAAAGGGCCCTAATCTGTCATAATTAAAGGGCCTAATCTGTCATCATTAAAGGGTCATTAAAGGGCCCTAATCTGTCGTCTCTAAAGGGCCCTAATCTGTCATCATTAAAGGGCCCTAATCTGTCATCATTAAAGGGGCCTAATCTGTCATTAAAGGGCTCTGATCTGTCGTCATTAAAGGGCCCTAATCTGTCATCATTAAAGGGCCTAATCTGTCATCATTAAAAGGGCTCTAATCTGTCATCATTAAAGGGCCCTAATCTGTCATCATTAAAGGGCCTAATCTGTCATCATTAAAGGGCCTAATCTGTCATTTAAAAGGGCTCTAATCTGTCATCATTAAAGGGCCCTAATCTGTCATCATTAAAGGGCCTAATCTGTCATCATTAAAGGGCCCTAATCTGTCATCATTAAAGGGGCCTAATCTGTCATCATTAAAGAGCCCTAATCTGTCATTATTAAAGGGTCATTAAAGGGCCCTAATCTGTCGTCTCTAAAGGGCCCTAATCTGTCATCATTAAAGGGGCCTAATCTGTCATTAAAGGGCTCTGATCTGTCATCATTAAAGGGCCCTAATCTGTCATCATTAAAGGGCCTAATCTGTCATCATTAAAGGGCTCTAATCTGTCATCATTAAAGGGCTCTAATCTGTCATCATTAAAGGGCTCTAATCTGTCATCATTAAAGGGCCTAATCTGTCATCATTAAAGAGCCTAATCTGTCATCATTAAAGGGCCCTAATCTGTCATCATTAAAGGGCTCTAATCTGTCATAATAATAAACTGCTCTTTTCCAATCCTTCTTTAACTGATAACAGTAGTTCAGAGATATTTGAATTTCTAAATTATTTTTCCAGCCTCTAAATCTTGTTATTGTTTTCATTTCGATGTCCCGTCCTCCATCGTTTCACCAATCAGAAAGTCCGTGATCCGGGCGCCAGAACTGAGTGTGAACCCTGACGACCGGGTATTATAGCTTTTTATTTTTGTTTCACTTTAAAATATCCCGTTGTAAATCAGATTTGAGTGTCAAAAATGGTGCTATAAATGTACAATGTATTATTAGTATTTTTATTATTATTATTATTCCTATCACTTCCTGTCTGTGCGCAGCAGTGGTACCTGGAGCGTGGCGTGTGCAGAGCCGTCCGTCAGCTCGTGGTTGATGCTCTGTGTTTTATGCTTTGAGGCCGGAGACATGTCATCGGGCTCTGGGGACAGATGAGTGTGACATCACACACATACAAATAGAAGAGAGAGACGTGTGTCCAGTGTCATGGAACAATGCAGCGTCTGGAACAGCATGTGCAGAGACGCTAAAGAACAACGCTCTCAGATCATTTATAGAACTGTGGAATTTAGAAACACAAATGATACATTCATAAATATTTACAAAGGCCTGGTTAGTGAACTGTGGCACTTGGTATTCCCAAAGGTCTCCCATCACAGTACTAACCAGGCCCTGCACTGCTTAGCTTCAGAGGTCTGACAGGATCTGGTTTTCACATGCAGGTGTGGTAAAAATGGTTAGCAGAGAAGCTAGTCAATGCTAACAGCTGCTAGTTGAAAGTGTGTTGCTCTGGTAACAGTGTGTTGCTATGGTAACTGTGTGTTGCTATGGTAACTGTGTATTCCTATGGTAACGCGTGTGTTTCTATGGTAATGTGTGTTGCTATGGTAACTGTGTGTTGCTATGGTAATGTGTGTTGCTATGGTAATGGTATGTTGCTATGGTAGATATGTGTTGCTATGGTAGCGGCATATTCCTATGGTAACTGTGTGTTGCTATGGCAACAGTGTGTTGCTATGGTAACTATGTGTTGCTATGGTAACTATGTGTTGCTATGGTAACTGTGTGTTGCTATGGTAACTTTGTGTTGCTATGGTAACTGTGTGTTGCTATGGTAATAGTGTGTTGCTATGGTGATGCTCTGGTGGAAAACCTACAGCCATCCTTGATATAAAAAAGGTGTAAAAGTCTTACTGAATCCTGGTTGAGCAAATATGAAAAGTTTAAATTTAATTTAGTAAAGACGGCGTGTGTTTGTACCTGCGGTGACTTCACTCTGGTCCTTGTGCCCCATTGGTCTGGGTCTGACTCTGGTCCTGAGTCTGTGCCCGGTCTGATCCGGTCTGTGCCCGGTCTGATCCGGTCTGTGCCCGGTCTGAAGGAAGCTGAAAGACACAACATCATGTCACTACTTCAATGGACTTCATTAAATCATCTGTACCATCAACACTAATCACATTAGTGTTGATGGTACAGATCAAATTATTTTGACTAATACCCTACCCTACTCTACCCTACCCTACCCTACCCTACCCTACCCTACCCTACCCTACTCTACTCTACTCTACCCTACCCTACCTACCCTACCCTACTCTACTCTACTCTACCCTACTCTACTACCTACTCTACTACTACTCTCTACTCTACTCTACCCTACTCTACCCTACTCTACCCTACCCTACCCTACTCTACTCTACTCTACCCTACTCTACCCTACTCTACTCTACTCTACCCTACCCTACCCTACTCTACCCTACCCTACCCTACCCTACTCTACTCTACTCTACCCTACTCTACTCTACTCTACTCTACCCTACTCTACCCTACTCTACCCTACTACCCTACCCTACCTACTCTACTCTACTCCTACTCTACCCTACTCTACCTACTCTACTCTACCCTACTCTACCCTACCTACCTACTCTACTCTACCCTACCCTACCCTACTCTACTCTACCCTACCCTACCCTACCCTACTCTACTCTACCCTACCCTACCCTACCCTACTCTACCTACTCTACCTACCTACTCTACTCTACTCTACTCTACTCTACCTACTCTACCTACTCTACTCTACCCTACTCTACCCTACTCTACCCTACTCTACTCTACCCTACCCTACTCTACTCTACCCTACCCTACCCTACTCTACTCTACCCTACTCTACTCTACCTACCTACCCTACTCTACTCTACCCTACCCTACTCTACTCTACCCTACTCTACTCTACTCTACTCTACCTACCCTACCCTACTCTACTCTACCCTACTCTACTCTACTCTACTCTACTCTATCCTACCTACTCTACCCTACCCTACTCTACTCTACCCTACCCTACTCTACTCTACTCTACTCTACTCTACTCTACTCTACTCTACTCTACTCTACTCTACTCTACTCTACTCTACTCTACTCTACTCTACCCTACCCTACCTACTCTACTCTACCCTACCTACTCTACCTACTCTACTCTACTCTACTCTACTCTACTCTACTCTACTCTACCTTCTACTCTACTCTACTGTACCTTACTCTACTCTACTCTACTACTGTACCTTACTCTACTCTACTCTACTGTACCTTACTCTACTCTACTCTACTGTACCTTACTCTACTCTACTCTACTCTACTGTACCTTACTACTCTACTCTACTCTATCTCTACTCTACTGTACTTACTTACTCTACTCTACTACTACTCTACTGTACCTTACTCTACTCTACTCTACTGTACCTTACTCTACTCTATTCTACTCTACTCTACTCTACTCTACTCTACTCTACTGTACCTTACTCTACTCTACTCTACTCTACTCTACCCTCTACTCTACCTTACTCTACTCTCTACTCTACTCTACTCTACTCTACCTTACTCTACTGTACCTTACTCTACTCTACTCTACCCTCTACTCTACCTTACTCTACTCTACTCTACCCTTACTCTACCTTACTCTACTGTACCCTACTCTACTCTACTCTACTCTACCTTACTCTACTCTAACTCTACCTTACTCTACTCTACCCTACTCTACTCTACTCTACCTTACTCTACTCTACTCTACCTACTCTACTACTGTACCCTGCTCTACTCTACTCTACTCTACTCTCCTCTCCTCTACCCTCTACTCTACCCTCTACTCTACCCTCTACTCTACCTTACTCTACTCTACTGTACCTTACTCTACTCTACTCTACTCTACTTTACTCTACTGTACCTTACTCTACTCTACTGTACCTTACTCTACTCTACTCTACTGTACCTTACTCTACTCTACTTTACTCTACTCTACTGTACCTTACTCTGCTCTACCCTACTCTACTCTACTCTACCCTCTACTCTACTCTTCTCTACCCTATTGTACTCTACCCTACTCTACCCTACTCTACTCTACTGTACTCTACTCTACCCTCTACCCTCTACCCTCTACTCTACTCTACTCTACTCTACTTTTATCATTTTTATCTATTTTTAATCAGCTCTGACTTGAAACTGTTCTGAAGAAAAACCGGTTAACCCTGTTTCCACCAACTGTACCTTACTCTACTCTACTGTACCTTACTCTACTCTACTCTACTGTACCTTACTCTACTCTACTGTACTGTACCTTACTCTACTCTACTGTACCTTACTCTACTCTACAGTACCTTACTCTACTCTACAGTACCTTACTCTACTCTACTGTACCTTACTCTACTCTACTCTACTGTACCTTACTCTACTCTACAGTACCTTACTCTACTCTACTGTACCTTACTCTACTCTACTGTACCTTACTCTACTCTACAGTACCTTACTCTACTCTACTCTACTCTACTGTACCTTACTCTACTCTACTCTACTCTACTCTACTCTACTGTACCTTACTCTACTCTACTCTACTGTACCTTACTCTACTCTACTCTACTGTACCTTACTCTACTCTACTCTACTGTACCTTACTCTACTCTACTCTACTCTACTGTACCTTACTCTACTCTACTCTACTCTACTGTACTCTACTCTACTCTACTCTACTCTACTGTACCTTACTCTACTCTACTCTACTGTACCTTACTCTACTCTACTCTACTGTACCTTACTCTACTCTACTCTACTCTACTCTACCTTACTCTACTCTACTCTACTGTACCTTACTCTACTCTACTCTACTGTACCTTACTCTACTCTACTGTACCTTACTCTACTCTACTCTACTGTACCTTACTCTACTCTACTCTACTCTACTGTACCTTACTCTACTCTACTGTACCTTACTCTACTCTACTCTACTCTACTGTACCTTACTCTACTCTACTCTACTGTACCTTACTCTACTCTACTCTACTGTACCTTACTCTACTCTACTCTACTGTACCTTACTCTACTCTACTCTACTGTACCTTACTCTACTCTACTCTACTCTACTGTACCTTACTCTACTCTACTCTACTCTACTGTACCTTACTCTACTCTACTCTACTCTACTGTACCTTACTCTACTCTACTCTACTGTACCTTACTCTACTCTACTCTACTCTACTGTACCTTACTCTACTCTACTGTACCTTACTCTACTCTACTCTACTGTACCTTACTCTACTCTACTCTACTCTACTGTACCTTACTCTACTCTACTCTACTGTACCTTACTCTACTCTACTCTACTCTACTGTACCTTACTCTACTCTACCTCTACTCTACTGTACCTTACTCTACTCTACTCTACTGTACCTTACTCTACTCTACTCTACTGTACCTTACTCTACTCTACTCTACTCTACTGTACCTTACTCTACTCTACTGTACCTTACTCTACTCTACTCTACTGTACCTTACTCTACTCTACTCTACTGTACCTTACTCTACTCTACTCTACTGTACCTTACTCTACTCTATTCTACTCTACTGTACCTTACTCTACTCTACTCTACTCTACTGTACCTTACTCTACTCTACTCTACTGTACCTTACTCTACTCTATTCTACTCTACTCTACTCTACTCTACTCTACTCTACTGTACCTCACTCTACTCTACTCTACCTTACTCTACTCTACTCTACCCTCTACTCTACCTTACTCTACTGTACCTTACTCTACTCTACTCTACTCTACCTTACTCTACTCTAATCTACCTTACTCTACTCTACCCTACTCTACTCTACTCTACCTTACTCTACTCTACTCTACCTTACTCTTCTCTACTCTACTGTACCCTGCTCTACTCTACTCTACTCTACTCTCCTCTCCTCTACCCTCTACTCTACCCTCTACTCTACCCTCTACTCTACCTTACTCTACTCTACTGTACCTTACTCTACTCTACTCTACTCTACTTTACTCTACTGTACCTTACTCTACTCTACTGTACCTTACTCTACTCTACTCTACTGTACCTTACTCTACTCTACTTTACTCTACTCTACTGTACCTTACTCTGCTCTACCCTACTCTACTCTACTCTACCCTCTACTCTACTCTTCTCTACCCTATTGTACTCTACCCTACTCTACCCTACTCTACTCTACTGTACTCTACTCTACCCTCTACCCTCTACCCTCTACTCTACTCTACTCTACTCTACTCTACTCTACTCTACTCTACTCTACTCTACTCTACTCTACTCTACTGTACCTTACTCTACTCTACTCTACTCTACTGTACCTTACTCTACTCTACTGTACCTTACTCTACTCTACTCTACTGTACCTTACTCTACTCTACTCTACTCTACTGTACCTTACTCTACTCTACTCTACTGTACCTTACTCTACTCTACTCTACTCTACTGTACCTTACTCTACTCTACTCTACTCTACTGTACCTTACTCTACTCTACTCTACTGTACCTTACTCTACTCTACTCTACTGTACCTTACTATACTCTACTCTACTCTACTGTACCTTACTCTACTCTACTGTACCTTACTCTACTCTACTCTACTGTACCTTACTCTACTCTACTCTACTGTACCTTACTCTACTCTACTCTACTGTACCTTACTCTACTCTATTCTACTCTACTGTACCTTACTCTACTCTACTCTACTCTACTGTACCTTACTCTACTCTACTCTACTGTACCTTACTCTACTCTATTCTACTCTACTCTACTCTACTCTACTCTACTCTACTGTACCTTACTCTACTCTACTCTACCCTCTACTCTACCTTACTCTACTCTACTCTACCCTCTACTCTACCTTACTCTACTGTACCTTACTCTACTCTACTCTACTCTACCTTACTCTACTCTAATCTACCTTACTCTACTCTACCCTACTCTACTCTACTCTACCTTACTCTACTCTACTCTA